TAAGTATTTATGGATTTTGGTGAAGAGGTCACAATTGGTCCCCGGACAATCCCAAGGGATCCACATTCATATCCAGACATCTGCTGTGTGTACAACACTATAATCATTCTGTACAGTGTTATTTGAAAATTCTAAATATGTATGTGCATTGAATGGCAAAGTCCAACAGGAAAATAAAGGCAGAAATTGATTCAAAGTAAAGCCTCGATTCCATTTTAATCAAGGCATCGTAATTAATTATCAAGTGTCTTCTTTCAATTCACTAAGTTTAGAATGGCCCAAAACCGATTAAGACTTAGGAATTAGGTGTTGGACAATTCGTGTAAGATCCAGCTTGATTTACTTCCTGCTCACTTCCTGCTTACTCCCAGTCTGATTTTCTAAACCATCATGAAACCCTTTCTTACAGGCAGGTGTACACAAACATGAACATAATTCCTTCCTGTATACCAAAGCCAAATTTAAGAACTCAGAAATAAGCCAGGCTTGGTGATACACGCCTACAATCCCAACACTCTAGGAGGCTGCGGCAGGTGCGTTGGAAGCTCAAGCCCAGCACGGGCCACTTAGTGGCTTAGTGAGACCCTATCTCAAAATAGAAAAATAGAGGGTTAGGGTTGTAGTTCAGTGTGAAAGCTGTGGGTTCAGTCCCCAGTATGAGGAGAAGGGCTCAGAGCAAATTCCTTTTAAAAATGTTATTTTTGTCTTAATTTTTTTTTCTTTTTTACGAAACATTGCTTTAAGTCCAACTGGGCATTTGGACAAGTGGGAAAAGGAGACATGAGAAAAGTCTAATGAAGGACTAGGGTTTAGGTTCCCTTTCTAAAAGGCATTTGTGTTTATGTGACTGCATTTGATGAATTTCATATCTTCTGTGAGAATACGGTAAATTTTCATCAAACAGAAAAGGACTTGTAATTCAGAGACTTTCCACTCAATATTTCAAATTTTTAAAAAAGCTTGGTTTTTCCCCAATCTAAAACCTTAATGGTTTTTACTTTTTATTGTTTCTTGCTTTCGTGATCTTAGTTTTCGGGAGGCTTTTGGTAAATTCACAGTATGCAAAGAGCACAGAGGTTCAGAGGAAATATTTTCAATTCCTCAGTAGCCTTCTTCAGAGGGCTTCGCACACTGGTTCTCTAGACTCGGCGCCTCATGTGCCTCACTGAAATGTTGGTGGAGTTGGGATGGCCCTTTGCTTTGTAGCATCGTCTGCTCTTGCTTCTGCCTTGGATTTTTGTGTTCTTTCTTTTTGCAGTATATTTTGGGAAGAAACTTCTTTAAGACTCCTGGGTCTGACCAGTCAAAAGCAAATAATTGTACTTTCTCCTGTGCACAGATTATTCTATTTGATCTGTAGGATACACATAGTTTAATTACTGTACATGTATTTAGTTTGTATTCTTGAAAATAGCCTTCTTGGAAGGAAATTTCAGATCAGTACCTTTCTGTCTGCAGACTCATCTTTTCTCTCTGTCCCAGTCTGCTTTTTAGGCTTTGTTTTGGTGTCTTTTCCTTCTGTAAGAGAACTTTGCCTCCATACATGAATATCATCTATCTCATCAGAGCTCGTAGAAACAGCTTTCATTTTGTTTACGTTCTTACAAACTACAAGGAATTCTAATTCAGATTAGATTTTTGTTCAGGATTATTCTTTTGTGAAGAGAAATGTAGACAAGACTGAATTACTTTATTTGTAGAAAGAAGTTACTCTCGGAAACTCCAAATTGATGGTTTTATAGATTCATTTTCCCGCTGTATCTCTCTGCCCTTCTAGGTCTAGTAGGATCTCCGCTCTACACTGATTTTCAGTAGGTGAGGCTGCTCTGTCTCTCTTGTTTCATTTCTCCCTTTCTTTTCACTTCTTCAAATTTTGCTGACCCAAATAAACTTGTAATATTCCTCAAATTGCTATTAACCCGAGGTCTTCGTACGTCACGAGAACAATGCTTTATGACAGCTAATGGTTAGCGTTGAGTGCCTGGAGAGTCCAGCGGTAGGCCTTTGTTACCATCAGCATGCCCCTTGCACCGTCCCTGGAAGCTGAGCTCTGCACTCTCGAAGGGTAGGGTCCAGTCATCTCTGAAGCTTGTCTCTTCCTCTGCGCTCACATTTCTTCTCCAGCTCCGTCAGACAATGAGTTTGTTGGAAAATCCCGAAGCCCGGTATCATGAGAATAAACTAGCAGGCTTTCCACAGCCCACTCTACCTAGCCCACTTCAGGTGTTTTGCATATGGCATTTGGGAGGATTATTAAACAAAAATGAAATAGATTAAGAAATGAACATAAAGGAATCAATTCTCTTGAACTGTGGTTGCATAATGGAAATCGACTACCATGAATGAACTCGTGTACTGAAGTTATGAACAGCAGAGCTAATGCACTGCCAGGAGTTCATCTTTATTATTGCATTACACCTGAATCAATTGATAAAGTAGCTTTTTTTTAAAATGAGGGATGGCACTTAATTGAATAAAAGTCAATGTAATTATATTAGCAGAGGCCAACAGTACTGCTGACAGCGGAAAAGGGACACACTGTTGAGCAGAGTGCCAGAGCTGGTCTACACATTTCTGCACATCGTTTGCTTGACAGATATTGAGGGCTGGTACATCATCTAATTAGATTACAGATTTTTACTGCTGTAAGTGAGAAATGAAGAAAAAAGTCTCCTCCTGCCAACCTAGCAGTGGCAATGTGTAATTTCACAAGTTGTTTTAGGAATGAGGTGTCCATCCGGGTGATCAGTGTGTCCTTTGGCCAGTGTTAATTTATTCCTCTTCATTCGGCATGTTTTAATGTGACCGCTGTGTATCTGTTGCTGTTTTCTCAGCACTGACCCTAGGACGTGTCCCTGAGTCGTGTGGGCAGCAGCGTAGCGTGCTAGAGTGCGGTCACAGCACAGTGCATGTGAACGTGAGAAAGGGGAGGGTGTTGAGAATGATACAGAGAGGGATAGGATTTCGTGAGCTGCTCATTGGCAGGTTGGCAGATTGCTTTTATCAATAGAATAACAGTCCACGCATAGCATAGGTGTTTCCACATTCTTGCTCTAACCGCAGTGATGCGCGTGCACGTCACGGTAAAGGCGTCACAGGAGGCATTTCACGCACCCCACTTGGCAACTTGCATTTGGAGTCATCTCCCATCCGATACCAAGAAACCAAGGAATGACTGTGTCTGAGCAGGGGCCAGGGGACAGCTTCCGTTCACCATTTGCATACCCTCGCACTGCATGCGTCTGCTCGGCATTCATTTATGGGTGATGATGATACTGTGAATCTTGTTTATCTTAATTTGATTTATGATTTTTGGATTATGCAGCTGAAAATCACCAAGACAGCATATGAGATGACCCCTTATGACAGAAAATTATTTTGTGATCAAAACATTTTAAATCCCATTTTATTGTTTGTTTCTTTAAACCAGATGTCATCCATCCATCCATGTTTTCTCTCTCTCTCTCTCTCTCTCTCTCTCTCTCTCTCTCTCTCTCTCTCTCTCTCTCTCTCTGTCTCTTATTCTTGCTTTCTTTTGTGATCGATTTAGCAAAAGATTAGAAAGCTGATCTTATTATCACAAGGTAAGCTCAGCCTTCCCAAGCGCAGTGTGGAGAGGGCTGTGCCCTCTGCCCCTGGAACCCCAAGTGCTATATATTGTCTTGTGTGGAAAGGTGGAGAAGTGGTTCCCACCTTTCTTGTCTCTGAGGCACATACCTCTCAGCCGTCTGGAGGAAATAGTAACCATGATTGTTACCAAATAGAGTGGCTAGTCTTGGTGTTCTGTACTTTCAAATTATGAATGTCTGCTGGACTTTATACTGACGGTTCAGGTCATCCTGCTGCCGCAGTTACTATTCCAAGACATAGAGCTTCTGTACCAGTATTGAGAAGCTTTATTTGCCTGTTGATGGGCTTATTTTGGGAAGGGTAGCATTCAATTTAGGCACCCATAAACATCTGAGCCTTGGCCACTGGAGAGAGGTATATGCCCAAGAGCACTTTAAAAATAAATGGGGGATGTAAATGTAATGTTTTCAAATAAATAATGACATCAGGCTTTGTAAATCATAATGTCCCTGTGATGCTCTGGGACAAACCTTGTCTTATGTTTTTTAACACAAGCAAAACATTCAGTGAACAAAGTAAAAGTTTTGCTTGTATAAGAAGTATTGGTTCCAGTTGTTAAAATCCAGGGCTTACTGCCCTTGATCATTTATGTGCTTATTGTATCATAATCTTATCCCTTTAGGTTTTTTCTATTGTTTAATGTAATTTTTAAAGAGTGGGTGGGTTGTATTTTTTAAAAAAATTACACCTTTGTTTTAAGAATTTTAAAATAGGACTATTTGAAGAAAACATTTCAATAATAAAATGTAGCAACTTCTGGAAAATACATTGTGGCTGCTGGATTCTACTGAGATCTCAGATCCTTAAGTTGTTCTAGAGTCTTAACTCTAAAGTACTTAATGCTAAAGTACTGACAAAGCCAAATTTTTCTTGAAAGTTGAAATGTACAAGATTGGGGAATGAAGATTTTATTAATTTTAATAAAATCTGTTATCTAGATCATTTCCTTTTAGATATTTTTATACCTCAATACAGTGCTTACTGTTTTTGAGATAAATCTGGGCTTCCTATTCAGATAAGCGAGACAGTTTCTTCTCCTTTATTCTGTCGACTGCACGTGCTCTAAAATGCCTTCTGTGAGGCCCTTGGAGGTCGACACAGTGGCAGAGGAACAGTGACGGGAAACTGAGGAAAGGGGCGTGGGTTTGCCCTCACCCGACCATTGGCTATTTCACTCTTAAAAGTTAGTTAATGGGTCGTTTCCCTCACTTCCAGATCCCGAGGACGTAGCACGATGCTTGCTTTTATAATGGTGTAAAATGAATGTGCTTACTTGGTGCCGGGGGAAAGCCGAATCAATTTTAAAGTGCTCTCCGTTTTCTCCCCCGCCCGCTCCCTGCGCACCTACCCCTTTCCTCTTGTTTTCCTAGACACAGTGCCAACATAAATCTACATCGTAAACTGTTGACCAAAGAACTCGATGACATGGGCCTGGACTCATCGCAGCCCTCCCTTAGCAAGGACCTCCGGGATGAATTTTTGGTGAAGATCTATGGTGCCCAGCACCCTCTGGGGCTCGACGTCAGGGACGATGCGTCCTCTCCCGCAGGGACTGAAGACTCCCACCTGAACGGGTACGGGCGCGGCGTGGCGGAGGACTACATGGTCCTCGACTTGAGCACCACGTCCAGCCTGCAGTCCAGCAGCAGCATCCACTCCTCGCGGGAGTCTGACGCGGGCAGCGACGAGGGGATTCTTCTTGACGACCTTGATGGCGCGAGTGACAGCGGGGAGTCAGTGCACAAGGCCGAGGCCCCAGCCCTGCCTGGCGGCCTCGGCGCCGACGTGGCAGGAGCGCTCATGTTCAGCAGCCTGTCTGGGAGCAATGGCGGGATCATGTGCAACATCTGCCACAAAATGTACAGCAACAAGGGGACGCTGCGGGTACACTACAAAACCGTGCATTTGCGTGAGATGCACAAGTGCAAAGTCCCAGGCTGCAACATGATGTTCTCCTCTGTGCGCAGCCGGAACCGGCACAGTCAGAACCCTAATCTCCACAAAAACATTCCCTTCGCTTCCATAGATTAGTCCCAGAACGGACGCTCCGAATGCCAGCTCTCACCAGGTGGCCTACGTGTTTGAACTGCCGTTGTCAGTGTGCGTGTGCGCGTACGTCGGCAAGTGTGCACGTGTGTGTAGGTATGTACACCTCCATGTCTACACACACACGTACACATTTTCTTTAGATAAAAAAGATAAACACTAGGTGCTTTTGAATTTTTTTCTTTTTCCTTTATAGTTTTGGGAAAGAGGTGAAATCTTTAATTTGGGGGTGAAAAATAGTACCCCTTTAAACATACACAGGTCCAAGTGTGCATCAAGCCCCAATTTTGATAGAATAATTCATGATCTCCTCCAAGGAGACAGTTTGTTGTACCCATGACTGTTGCCTGCAAAAAATAAAAGGGAGAAAAGAAAAAAGAGACAGAGGAACTTCGCAGAGTTGTCTTTTGTGAACTTTTAAGGTTTTGAGAGAATCTTCAAACAAGCATGGCAGATTCACCTGTAAATACTTGGCCTTGAGAGGCCGATGGTGTAAAGCAGTTGTATTGACGGTTGTTTAACTCTTTTAATTTTTACAGTTACATCCAGCTGTTAGATATGCAGGAAAAAAATAGTTTGCTGGCTAGCTCTGTTCATTTATGTTAGCATTAATGCACATTTTTTTTAAAAAAGAAACCACAGTCTTGTTTTTACTACCTGTTAGATATAGTGGTAAAGAGGTGCTGGCATGCTTCACAGCACAGATCTGAGTTTTTAAAATGTCCTGTACTAGTACATAAATCCAGTCATGCACTTTTTTTCCTCCACTACAAGGGGATGTGTAATATCCGTGCTTCTTTTTTCTCCTTAAACTGTTGCCATACTTCAGTAAGTGTCTTTAAAAAAAAAAAAAAATCCACTTGTATAAAAATGGTCTGGTCAGTATAGGGCATGAATGCCAAACAGAAGTATTAGTGTTAACACAAAACTGCCAACTTTGCACAAGTTTCCAGAAAAGAAAATACAATTAGTCACTCAACATAACCGCAGGCCAATTTGTCGGCCACCAGAAAACCGCTTAAAAAAAAAAAAACACCTCGGTGAGTCTTTCAAGTGCCGAATGTTATTAGAATCAACACTGCATCCTTCTTGCTTATATGCTAAGTTACATAAAAGGAAAATAAGACTGTGTGGTGTGAAACAGCCAGGGCATTGCTTCTTCAGAGGCAGGATAACATTGCAGGATACAAAAGCCCAAATGAGTCACGATGGAACAAAGCTGAATACAGTAGACAAGTTGAACACTCATTCCCAAGGCCCAGACCATTGAAAAGAAAGCAGAAGTCTGAATCGGGTCGGTCTGTTGTATGGCTGTCTCATTTGTCACAAATTCTGCAGTAGCGTGACGATTCAGTCCTGGTCGATAGACAGAATCAGAAGCCGCTTCCCGGCGCAGTGCTCGGGAGCTCTGGACACGTGTGCGAAACTTGAATTGAGCAGCGCTCCTTCCGAGAGGGGCAGGAGGGTTCCAGATAGAATCGAGGCGCGGTGTTGCATGTTCCCCACATGAATTGATCAGAGAGAAATGAAAGCAAGCCTGAAACAAGCCACTGAGAGTGAGAAAGAGGGGGGAGACTGCTCCAATCCTTTTTTGTTTTGTTTTGTTTCCGATGTTTACACGTGCTGCCTGAGCTGGTTAGCCGCATCGGCAGCCTCAGCTACCACAACATACTGACTAAAGGATGGTGTCGACTCAGTTCCAGTCCGCAGCCAGAACCATTAGGGTGTGCAGCGCAGACTGCGTTTTGTTGTCTTTTTTTTTTTAAGTAGAGGGAGGGAAAGATAAACAAGGACTGTTTTGTCAACCAGTGCACAGTGTAAGGAGAATGTATTTGCTTTCTGCATATAACAGCCTCAAACATTTCGCCCAGGAGTCTAAAAGTTAGAGATACCCCTTTGTTTAAACCTTTTGTGTTACTCCCATATTCCATGTTTTGTAATAATTTTCTTTTTGTGTTCATATCAGCATTCAATTCCGTTAAATTTGCCAAAGGAAACTGTTAATATGTTTCTGTTGTTATTCCTGTAGGATTTATTGTACCTCACAGTATTTATTGTTTCCAAAAGCATCATTTGTTGAGGATTCAGTATTTTTTATTTGTGAAAAACTCAGAAACAGTAGATTCTTAAAGATAAGCTCATATATATATATATATATATATATATATATATATGCGCTTTATCTTCTTGGGCTCCTTCTGAGGATACTGTGGGGTTCTATGGAGTTTCTTTGGTTCTTTGTTCTGCAGTGAGGGAAGAACAAAAGTATTCGCATTACAGAAGAAACTATCAAACACTATGTCTGTTAAATGACAAATGTTTACGGTCAAAGCTGAGGAATTAGTAATAACCGTTTTGTTTTCTTGTACCTTTGAATTCCCCCAAAGTCTTAATAGCTTCCTTTTGGTATTGTGTTAAATTGAATAGACAGAGATGTTTTCCTTTGTTTTATACCATATAAGACTCTGTACAGTATGTTTGTGAAGATTGAACTAGAATAATGAACATTTGTTTGCAAACACCCTGGTCCTCTTAGCGTTCTCTGTGTTGCGCTGCTGCTCTTGGCAAGTGGTTAGATTCCAGAAGGGTGGAAAAGCATCTTAAGTATGCCAACAAAAGATTATGGGGACTCTGGATTTCAGAGAGCATTAACTGAACTATATCTAATATCATGGATATTAATACACATTTTTTTAGCAAATTTAAAACTTACTCTGAGATATAGAACTCATTTGTACAGAATCATTGTTTTGTCTGTATAATATCAGATAAAAGGTCAGACAGCCCTAGGGAGAGACTTGCATTCCTACCAGGAAGTCACGTCAGCTTTAGAATCAGTGTTATCATACTTGCCACAAACCGGGATGACATCAGTGCCCAGTGAGGGGGAAAAAAGAGGTAAGATTCTAAAAGAGTTTCCCTTAGTTGCAAATGTGAATGTGTTCACCTCTGTGTGTGTGTGTGTGTGTGTGTGAGAGAGAGAGAGAGAGAGAGAGAGAGAGAGAGAGAGAGAGAGAGAGAGAGCAGTAATCCCTGGACAGCTGGCACTTTTCAGTTCTCCTGGTCATTCCTAGTTTGTACCACAAGTCTGAAAGTGCTTTGGTGGCCTTCTCAACGACAACATTTCCCAGTACAAAGCCGGTTCTTATTTAAAAGGGACTGGGGCGAGTGGGTGGGTTGCAGGGCATACTAGGCAGCCTGCATGATGGGCAGCTCTTCTGGCCCTGGGTGTCACTTGCAGCCTGTGTGTCTGGGCAGTGTTTTGGCCTCACTGTGGTCCCTAAGGATAGCAAGTACTGGTGCGGACAGCAAGGACAGAGGGGTCTGCATTCCCCTCCTGCGCTCTTGTGCGTGGCCATTCCCTCCTTTGCTTTTTCACAGGAGTTTCCTTAAGCAGTCTCTCTCTCTAGCTGCATTCATGCTGACTAAAAATGAATGAGGATGTAGATTTTCACCCACGTAATTTCTTCCTGTTCAATTATAGGCAGAGTTTTATCTAGGTACGAAACCAGGCGGTAGCGTTGTCCATGTTCTCTCACTGATGTTGAAACGTACTGTTTTTATCATTTTAAACTATTTTTGTAAATACCGTAAAGGCTAAGGCCTCTTGTGGAAGCCCCCACGTGCAGTGGAGGGGATGATAGAGGAAGAAAAGATAGCAAGTACTGCAGCTTTTAGAAATGTAGTACAGAGTAGGACCTTCCCAGTTTGGCTAGTAATTAAGTTTAACTCGATCAACCCAGTGTATCTCATCACGGGTCCTAGCTGCAGCTGCCCTGTTCAGCCTGATTTTTTTTAAGTCTAAAGCGTGTCAAATGTTTTCCTTCTCAACATGGCCAGCATTTTTGCAAAACCTGCTTCGCACAGTGGTTTCACCATCTCTTAGTGTGATTTCTTCAGCTACCGTTTTGCAGCCCCTCCCAGTGAGAGGCAGAAAGCATTCACAGGTTGCCAGCCCCAGCGGCCTGGACGCCGCTTTCTGCCGCCATCAGGAGCGGGCGGCCCCAGCAGCCTTGTGCTCATTCATTCAGGATGTGTTAGGGTCCCGCCAAATATGGTGCCCTGTCCGCAGCTTAGACGTGGACCACACAAAGAGAATGGAGGCTATCAAGCGAAGACACCAACAGCTCCTGGTGGCCACACCGCTAACTGGCAGCGTGGCCTGAGCTGTCCTGAGTTGTGTCCCTGGCTGCTGGTGCTGACAGAACACAGTCTAAAGAGCAGACCATCCGGGAGAGACCCTTCCCTCCTGTGGAAACGCCTTTGAAGTTTATTTCTGAAATTATGCCAAACAGATTTTATGTACAAAAAAACACCTCACCCCAACATTGTAAATTATGGGGAGTTGCTTTTCCCTCTCATTCTGTTTTTTTAACAGGGCAGTGAAAGGCAGGGGCAAGAAACACTGCAGAGATCACTAAATCTCCATCAGAGGAGCACGTGAGACACCAGGCAGAGGGTGCGCTCCCGCTCTGGCCTTCGGGGAGCTGCTCTGGCCGTGCACAGGTCCGGTCCGGCTCTGCCTGGCAGTGGGTGACCGCGTGCGGAGCCCCCAGAGCTCCCCGTGAAGAGGGCAGCCGCTGCTGCACAGAAGAGTGGGACAGGAGAGCCAGCAGGGGCAGCTGGGACGGGGCTCTGCTCTTCTGCTTCAGAGTGGAAGGTGACTCTAGAGAGCAGGAAGGTGCGAAGAGTGCCCCGAGCCCCAGAAAGCTCAGGGGTGGGGCTTCAGTCCGGCCAGAGCGGAGCAGCGGAGCAGCGGGTGTGACGATGGCAGCCTGGGGCTGTCCCTTCTGCTTGCCACTATGGCAGCAGGAAAAGCTGGGATTGTAAACGGCGTGGCTGGCAGTCTCCTGACAGAAGCTGGGGCTCACACGCCCCTCCAATCTACAGAAGCAAAAGTAATTTTCCTGGTTTTCCTCAGGTAAAAACTGTATTTGCACACGCTGCTGTTGAGGCCACGCCTCCTTGTTTCCACACTCCTGTATTTCCTGGCACTGGTGCTGTTCACCCTAATGGTAATTGTCAGAACGTTCTGAAGAGCCAGCTGTCCAACTGACCACTGAGTCCCCTGCCATCGCTTTAGCTAAACGCCCATCCTGCCTTGTGTCCTTTGCCATCCTTCCCACATCTTGCATAAAATATTTTACAGTCATTTTGGAAAAACTAGATGTCAGCTACTTTTTGGGGGGCATTTACTGAGAAATTCAAACTCCTAAGAACAGAGGATTTTTAAAAAATGAGCATTTTTACAAGCACTCTGGATTAAATCAGCATTATTGTTCATTATAATGCTATATATTTTTTTAAGCAACGTACTATAGTTGTCATAAAACTATCATTATTCTCTAAAGTGTTGTAAATTCATTTGACCTTTACTGCAGAAAAAAAATGTTGCATAGGGTATCAGGACAAGGCTGTGCTCGTAGCAGCGTGGACCATTACAGAAGAGGAGAGTGGCGAGCGAGGGCTGAGCAGCGAGAAGCTTCCATTCAATTTCACCTCATATCTCTCTAATAACTTACTTGTCACTTTATTACCTTCCAGTAATGTGAACGCTGCTGACAAGACTGTCACACTAACAGCAGACAACACCCTCCGCCTCAGCCCCAGCTCTCTTGGCTACTTACTGCCCTGGCCCTGAAGGGAAGCAAACTCATAGTGTGCTTTCCAGTTCAGCACTCGGCCAGCAAATACAAAAGGATGCGTAATTGCCTGTTTATCCCTTGTGAAGAGGAAGCCCAGTACAGGGCTAGGCTTTCCCACACAGGTCCCTGATGTACTCACACTCAGTCTCTCTCTCTCTCTCTCTCTCTCTCTCTCTCTCTCTCTCTCT